GTTGTCACTTTCGAGGACCACCACTTCACCCTTCCTCTCTCTACCGTGTCTTGACCTACTCCCTCTTTCCCTTATTTTTTTTTTTTTTTTTTTTTTGAAAACTATATTTAATGGTTAAAATCATTTATAAGATTTAAAAAATGATATTCATAATACTGTTTATATATAATATTTAATTAATTTTATGTATTAGATTTTCACCAAATGGAAAAATGATAGTTTCTGGAGGTGATGATAAAACAGTCAAATTATGGGATACTAATACAAAAGAATGTATTCATTCATTTCCTGAACAAGGAGGGTAAGTAGAAATCTTTTATGAAAATTTCATATTCAATTCATTTTGTAGAGTAGGAAAATATTATTATATTGCTAATAACCTTATATATATAATAAGATTTATATATATAAGTTCATAAGCAATATAATAATATATATATATATATATGTCTTAAAATTATAAATTTATTTAATGCAAGTGCATTCATAATAGCATTTTAAACATAATTTTACACAAATATATTAAAGTATTGATTTTGTTATTTGAAGATAAACTTTTTGGAATTCTTTGCTTTAGAACAGATCTGTTCACAAGTCAGTCATGATAGATTGATTTATCATATAGTCTTAAAACATGAAAAACATTTGTAATTTTTTTAGGAATATTAATTTCATATTTTCCAGTGAGAAAATTTTATAACTGTTACTACAGATTGATTGCATGCCACTTCACTCTGTGAGATAATATGTGAATGTTATTTGTTTCTGATTGCAGCACAGTGAAAAGCACTTAAACAGAATAAGGAACATAAGGAATTGCTATGCTCTTTGTATAGTGTTCATATCTGCTTATGTTGTTAATTTAGAATTTTTTTGTTGTCTCTTAACAATCCCAGTTTTATGAAAAATTCCTGTATCAAAAGTAAGCAAAATTTATTATATACATAATGAATGAAAAATAAAATACTCTTTTGTTATGGTGCAAAAGATAAATATTCAATTTAATGAATATCTTAATATCTTTACCAAAAAATTCAGTAAAGAGTTGCGTAACTTTCCCAGTAACATTTAAAACTGATTTGTGGCACCATCTGTTATATTTTATTATTAAAAACTTTTTATATTTTTAACTATTATAAAATGGCAAAAAGCTTAATATTGAGGGTAGGGATGGGTTTTATAAAAATTGTAAATGCTAATAATAATGAAAATGATCATTAAGTCCAACCCTAATTGAGATATGACACACAACTCTATCCCTCACCCCCTCTTTAACCACCAAAATTAAATAGCATTAATCCCCTTAACCTGTTCTGTATTATTCTGTGTAATTCTCGGAGTCATGACTTCTGACCTCAAGCATTTGACCCGAGATATCTCTTTACAGTATCAATTTGTTTTTGGAACTAGATGTCGTTAGTCATTATAATTTTTATATTTCAACTATATTCAAAGCACACTTAGCAGCTGTTAGATGTGTTGACTTTTCTAATGATTCACAATATTTATTAACAGGTTCAAGTGACAAGACAATTAAGGTTTGTATTATTTCAGTATAATTGCTTGTAAAAAGTAAATCTATAGATTATTGAATAACTTTTTAATCAAATTATATAAGTTCTAAAACTGTTCATTAATTTTGTAGGTTTGGCTAACTAATAGACAAAAATTTTTGTATTCTCTTTGTCATCATTGTAATTGGGTAAGATCTGCCAGGTAAGAAAAATATTAATTAGATAAATTTTTTAAAGAAAATTTTTTACTGGATCTTTATATTGATGATAATTATGGTTTGGATTTTTAGATAGTTTCAACCAAGAGAAAACCTAGACAAATAAGCTGTTAAAATCTTAATCCCTTAATCCTAAACAGCTAAACAGAATAACTAAAACCTCAAAAATTGCTAACAAAGAATAAATAAAGTTTAAATTGGTTTGCTATTTAGAAATGACCAATCCTTGCCAAATAATTTTATTTCAAATAAAAAGCACAAAATAAGTGTTTTCTAATATTAAAAAACAGTAAATTTATTTAAAAGAATAATAATTGAGAAACAACTGCATGAATAATAGCAGCAAGTCAATCCTGATTCTTCCTGCATGCTATTCTCCCAATTAAAACAAATTTGAATTCTTTTACTACTGGGAATAAGAATGAACCATTCCTCACCACTAAACCCTGAGAGGTAAAAACAATTTTGTTTTTAGGTACAAAGCAAGAAGAAATTTTTAAAGTTCAAATAGTTAACATTGTGTTTATAACAACATTGTTAACCATTGTTTTGACCATTATAAACAGTCAATTTAGTTAATCTTCTACATGCTTTTTATTTTTTTCTATTTTTTTTAATAATTCTTTTTGTATAATTAATAATTTTACTGTAAAGTAAGCTATTTATCTTAATTAACATACTAATCTATATATTCATTTAAAGGAAGTTTGGGACTGTAAGACTTAGAGTATATGGCTAGGGCCTAAAATTCAGGCATTAAATTAAAGCTCTTATACTGTAAAGGATGCCTTTTCTGTAAGAGAATCAACACATTGTAAATGACAAAAAATTATAATTTCACTAATATTTTCTATACTTCTGCAGTATCATCTTCAAGTGCAAGAAAAGAGTAAATACATTAAATATTCTTAACAAAAGAAAATAGAACAAATTTTAGTATTCCTAACAATTTTTTAAAATGTAGGATAAATGAATGTCCATACACATGCTCCATATCATTTAGTATTACCTAAAGCCCTCTTATAAAAGCCTATTACTGGAAAATACACATTTCATACAAAATAAATAAAACTTGACATCATAAATTTTCTGTGTCAATATTTTTCCTGCATCAGTTGTTTTCCCTCAAGTTCTGTCAAAAACAATAAATTGAGAATCCACTGTATTATTTTTTTTATAAGTCCTTAAAACCAATATCCGCCATTATCTTATCCAAATTATTTTCCATCTTTATTCAAAATAGTTTTGTCCCCAAACAATGGCTCTCTTCCAACAGCTGTACCTAAAAATGACAAAAACTCTTTCCATCCCACTTCCATTTCACCAGTCATGCTAAAAGTTTTAAAAATTTATTTGTACCATAGACTATACTCAACAATTTTTTCTAAATTAATACCAATTCGTCACTGTGGTCTACAGAATCATTCCATTACCATCAAACTTTTGGAAACTATATCAATAATCCTTTAGAATTTTGAAAGAAAGCAAGCTGTCTTCATAATTTATATAGATATTAGCCAAGTCTTCAATTCTGTAATTTTCATCTCCTTTGTTTAATTCTTAGCAATCACTTTGAAATTGATCNTAGATATAACAAACACAGAAATAAATAATACAAAATAAATTGTAGCTATATGTTGATTTCGCATGATATGTCCGAACATATAAGCTGAACAATAATGTGCGGGGAGTGAGTAATCAAGGGTTGTGTGGCGCTCAAACAAAAGACGAATCGACGCGATTTGAAAATCGTGTAACTCCGGGTTTGTGTAAGTCGAGTTATTACTGTATGGGATTTTTAAAAAATTTTTTGTGGCCTATGGGCATTAATAGGGTAAATTTACAGTCTGGAAATGCTTTCTGATCATTACTAATTTGGTAACAGTGAAGACATCTTTAGTAGTTGGTCAGTCACTATCTAACCCATCCCTCAATTGTGATACAGCCAGTTGAATCTGAGCATTTATGAACAGAACTATAGGATTTTTTTACAAATGCATTTCAATTTATTGTTCTTCATCAATCTGATGAATGAGAATAAAAGTCTCAAAATATACATTTTTTGTGTTAAATTATTATATGGTTAATTATAAATGAAGACAATTTTTTATGAATGTAATAAATAGATAGCAGTTTTAAAATTAATTTTTTTATTTATAGATTTATAGTTTTATATATATTAAAATTTTATGAAATATAGTTTTTCTTTGAACAAGAATTTTATGTAGAATTATTAAAATAATAATAATAATAACCTGTTATGGTTTATAATAGTAGTGAAAAAATTTTAATTATATTTATATTATAAGTCTTTAATTATTTGTGATTTTCTATTCAGGTATGTTAGTTGTGTAGCTTTTCATCAAAGTGGAACATGTATTGCAGCTTCTGGAGTGGAAGGATCTATAAAAATATGGGATTTGAGGATGAAAAAATTACTCCAAGTTTATAGAGGTAACTGTACAATTATTAAAATTTCATTCTCATAAAAAAATGCTACAATTATGAAGTTAATTAAAATTTAATTTAATAAAATTAATTTTTCTATATTACAAAAAAAAATTATTGTAAAATTAATGATATACAGATATCTCTTGAATTATAATAGTATACCATAATTCAAGAGATAATTAAATATATAGAATTATATTATATTTAAATATTTAATTATAATAGTATATGAATAGTATATCACTTCAGTTACAAATTTCACACAATAATATTATTATTTTTTATTTTTTCACACACATGTACACAATCCATGCATCACATACATATAGCATAGGTATCATTTTATGACATTATATAATTAGCATATTTGAATATAGCAGATACAAAATATATAATTAGATTAAATGCAGGTATTAAATTGAGACAAAAAAGTGTTAGATAAAATTATAAAATGCATTCTAAAGTTAACAAATAGTAATTTGAAGTGGTTTTTCAAGTGATTCTGATATTCAATATTACTTTAAGTATTATATACAGTATATATTTTTGTACAGTAATTTATGATAAATATTTGAAGATACTTAAGTCTAAAAATATTATGAAGAATGCTTCATAATATTTTTAGACTTAAGTATTTTCAAATATTTATCATAAATTACTGCACTATCATTAGACAGTTTTCATTCCATATACTATGTATTGCATCAAAGTTAGGACAACTAAAAAGTAAGTGTGTGGCAGTTTATATGCTTCCTTGACAAAACTGACACACTGGATTATTACTAACATTAAATCTATGAAGATATTCTAAAAAAACACCATATCCTGAAAGAAACTATGTGGTTAAAAAATCTGTAGTAAACATTGTATTTTCCATTTGTGTATATACATTGGTGGACAAAATTTAAGGACAAAGAAGAAATGGGCATGTATATGAAAAACTACATATAGTTGTAGACCAAGAAGAAAACAATAGTATTGACAGCATGTTCAACATGATTTAATATAATAATTATGTTCAAAGGAAGTATGCAGGATGTCAAAAGAGGGTGTTTGTAAAAGGTGCATGTTGTCCGAAGACATGGTTGTACAAAAAATGCACAATACTTACTACAAACAATCGTGAGTGTCATTTCAGTAAGGAATATGACCACCATGAAGTGCAATGCAACTTTGTACACAACATGGCATACTTAGAACAACATGATCCAGGAGCTGTTGAGGCAAGTTGTTCCATTCCTTATTCACTGTATGGATGGTCTCCTTGTTTGTCAGTGGATATTTTTGACCAGCAATATGTCTCCCCAAGGCATCCCATACATTTTCAAATGGATTCAGGTCAGGAAAAATGGGCTGGCCAGACTATGCGATGAATATCCTCACTGTCAAGAAACTCCTTCTACAGCTTGTGTGCAATGACAAGGTCAATCACATACTGATCCATATGGCCGTTGACCATGATGTCTGCTCACACCATGATAGTGTAAGTTGGATATTGATCCCTTTCCTGAATATTTTTGGGACATTAAGCACTGCTAACCTCGTGCCATATCAATTCCGTCTAGAATCAGATGATAGACTGAATCTACTCTCATCTGAGAAGAGCATGGTAGCCCAATCGTCATTAGTCCAATTGCGATGCAAACAGCACCATTGCAAATGGGTGCTTCGGTGAACTCTTGAGAGTGGGACACAAACAACAGGTCTTTGGGCATATAGTACTTTCTTTTGCAAACGTCTTGCAACAGTTTTACGGAATATCTTAGTTCCTGAACAATTCTCTCTGAAATATAGAACAATAATTACTTAACTAATAACTAGAACTTTGTATTAAAACATTATAGTGAAATAGTGCAAATCCAGCTCCAACATCAGTCAGAGTTTTACTACCATCTGTATAACAGATGGACTCTGAATTGTTAATATATCTTTAAAATCTACTACATGAATTAGTTCCAATGATGGATGAAAGCAAACATTATCCTTTATGCTCTCAACTTCCTCAATACAGTCGAACCCCCATAACACAGTAGATATGTTCCATTTTATAAGTATTTCACGTTGTAGGAATCCTTAAATATATTAGCCAATCACAGCCTGGCACATGTGCAGTTTATGGACTACGGCTGTTTGAAAGATTTTCTTTCATAAAATTAATCGGTTCTAGACTAATTTGACTCAACGTTTCCAAAACACATAGAATTTTTTGGGAATAATCCATATAAACTATGCTATAAACAAAAAATTGTAGGATTACTTATCGAGTGTGCACCGTTCGACAATGCCATTGCTTAAGCTTGTTTTTGTCGCAGAGCAGCACACCAAACGGCAGACACGTTTTCTGATAAGTCATTTTTCTGTGAAAAATTCGTTGAACTTTGGAGACATCATTAATAGAAATAATTTTTATGGCCGTTGAATAAGAAATGTTTTTTTCACAAGAAATTATAAAATTACAGTACTGTATTAGACTTACAGTACCTATTAGGTAACCAAAAAAGTTTTGTCGTTTTTTGTGAAACTACAAAGTTTAGAGAATGTTACATGCAATACACAATAGATGGCACTAAAATTCCAGCAATATGTTAATCAAGATTTAATGCTGACTCATCTTAAGCTTTCCACTTCTCTTTATATATCTCTTAATATTATAAAAATTGACCTGAAGATGAGTACTCCAAACTCTATAATTCGTCCTTGTATGTTGTATGAGTTTAAACTTGGAACAAATGCTGTGCAAATGGCTCAAAAAATATGCCAGGCTTTTGGACAAGGTTCTGTCAGCACTCATACCACCCAAAGGTGGTTTAGAAAATTTTCTTCCAGCAATGAGCAACGAGAATGGCAGCCATATGTCATTAATGATGATGAATTACAGGCTGCAATCGAAGAAGATTCTGCTCAAACTTGTCAGATGTTAGCACAAAGGTTCTTCGTATGTGATGAAACTGTCCATTTACATTTGCATAGTCTTGGGAAAGTTTACAAGCTCATCAATTGACACTTGCCAATATTGTGTGTATGGTGGACTGCAAATGGAATTGTTCACTATGAACTTATACTGTCTGGCCAGACTATTACTGCTAACGTCTACAGTGACCAACTTCGTCGAGTTCACCAATCACTTTTGAAAAAACAGTCAGCTTTAGTGAGCTGTAAAGGCGTTCTTTTCCTACACGATAATGCTATAGGCCTCATGTCGCGTGTGTGACCTCTGACACAATTCAGACCCTTGGATGGGAATCTCTTTTCCACCCTTCTTATTCCCCTGACATTAGCCCTTCTGACTATCACCTATTTTTAAGCCTAGATAATCATCTGCGAAATCGACAGTTCAGAAATAGAGAGACTATGGAAACGGAGTTAGAGAAGTTTTTCAACTCTAAAGATCGTGTGACTTTTATAAAAATGGAATTTATAAGCTTGTTTTCCATTGGGAAAATGTTATTGAATGTGAGGGTGGTTATTCTGAAGAATAAATTGTGTTATTTCCTATACATTTTTATGTTTGTTTTCTTTCAACAAAAAATGACAGAACTTTTTTGGTTATCTGATAATTTATATACTGTACAGACGATAGTAAACTCAACTTACCAGCCTAAACTCTCCGTAGCTTGTAAGTAGTTCAGCTGCTCATCCACTATTGGTCCAGATTTGATCAATCCTGTCGTGACACGAATCGGCAATGACATTTTACCGCATTTTATGAGTCTCTTTATATGAACACGGTCGCAATTTTTCGCTGTGATATACAAATCCACATTATATGAACCCGTGTTATAGGGGGTCGACTGTACCATATTAGATAATTCATCTCTGTTTCTTAACTTCTCGGTGACCTACAGCACCTTGAGATGTTTTATAGGTGCAATTAATATTAATTGTACCTATAAAAAGAGTTAATATTATCTCAAGAAAATATCTGAGATAATATTAACTGCTTCATCTGAAACAGTTCTGTATCATCGTATCATTCTTAAAAGTATCCTTCACTGAGTTTTCTTAAAGAATTACAGTAACAGTTTTTATTTATTGCTTGTCCCCAAATTTCAGCACCATATAAAATCATTGGTTGAACTGCCTTCAAGTAAATATCAAGGAGTATCTCATAAGTTGATTTCCATGTCACTTCAGAGCATCTGGTTAAGGCCAATAGTATTCATTTGGCTTTTCTAGCTATATACATAATATGTGCATACCACTTTAGACTTCTATCTACATATATACCCAGTAATTTGATGATGTTAATAAGCTCAATCACACTTCCATTATAGATTATCTTACCATTAAATCTATTAATTTTACACATATGCAAAAACATAGCTTTAGTTTTCTGTATGTTAATCTCCAATTTATGTTCAACTTGCCACTTATACACCATATTCGGTAGGTACATCATTTGCATTTTTGATTATTGTATTAAAAATCTTGCCCTTAATAAGAAATATTGCATCATCAGCATAAGCCAAAACATTAATGCCATGAGCTATAGTTTCCTTAATTGAGTATGTTAAACACTATATTCCAACAAAGAGGATCCAGAACAGATCCTTGAGGACATCCGCTGTTTGTCTTTTTGGTGAACATTGCATTACCTAAACAGAACTTCAGGGTTCTATTTTGAAAGTAGTTTTCAATTGTATAAAAATATATAAATATATACACAGGTACAGTACATATCCATACACAATAAAAAATAATAAATAGAAATTATTTAATTTTTAATGAACTTTAATTTTTATAGTTTATAAACAAATTTACATAGAGAAATGTATGCATAGGTAATAAATTGAAATAACATGAAAAGACAACTATTGTTTAATTGTTTTCATTATTATTTTTTTTATTTACGCCCTGTGGGCACTAAGCGGTTTTTCTCTGCATCTGTCATGGGTTTGGCTGAATTTGCATTGAGGCATCCATACGGTGAGGAGAGTTAGAGATCAACATATCCAGACAGAGCACCCCTAAAAAATTCCTAAGGTTTCTGACCCAAACTTGAACCTATAATTTATATTTTTGGTTTTGTAAAAGAAAGATCATTTGAAGAAAATGCATATGTTTAATTATTTTAAAAAATGTGAATTAATTGGTAATATTTGAATGTCATTTTATGTGTAAATAAGCAATGACAGTTTTTTCTGATTTTGTTAATTGGTTACTAATTGTACCTATAAAAAGAATTGTGAGATTATATCAAAACAATATGATCTCCAAATTATCATTTCTTGATATTAATTTATCATTTTATTATGATATTAACACTAATTGGGAATGACAGATTTCATATTTATAATTTTTAATTAATAAATGAAATTAATATTGTAGAATTTTTAAATTTAATTAATATAAAATTAAATAGAGAATAGTCTGTTATTAAAATATGATTTAATATCAGTTTTAATTTACAATAATATTGTATTTATATTCATATATCTTTGAATATTTGAATGCCTGAGAGTAATACCATATGTTTCATTAATGGGAACTGTTTGATAGTTTTTGTGCACTAAATATATAATTGATCATCACATAATTCATCACATAATTAATTGTTCTAAGATCAATTATACTTCTGTAGATGTTAGATTTCTCTTAAAAATTGCTTTTTTAATAATTAGAATGTAATAAAATACTAATTAATATTTTTAGTTATTTTAATTATTATTATTTTTTTAATTATAATTTAATTGAAATTTCAGTTCACGATGGTCCTGTAAATAGTTTTTCATTCCATCCATCTGGAAATCATATTATTACTGGATCTTCAGATACTACAATGAAAATCTTTGATCTCTTAGAAGGAAGATTAATTTATACATTGCATGGCCATCAGGTAATATTAAATTTAATTCATCATAAAATTTTTATTTATGTAAATGCCTTTTGTATATCCTGAAATGTTACCATGACAGATTTGGTTGCATTTTGACTGTTAAGTATCTCTCTAGATCAGGGGTCACCAAAGTGGTCGATATCGATCCCCACGGGTCGATGTAACATTATTGGGGGGGGTCGATGCAGCTAAGGAGTTGATTGGGGGTATATGGAAAAATTGAAACTAAAAATCACAAATTTAACTATGCATATTATTGTTTCAATGAATTTAATAGTACAGCTACCTGTCAACATATAAAATGGCTACGGATCAAGTTGCACAGGACAGACAGANTTCCTAGAAGTTTTATACCTGCGAGGTATAATTCGGGTTTGTCTGGTACATCGATAATAAAGAGCAGGTGTCCGTTGATTAAACGTGATTTGAATAAGGTCGAGAGATTCGAATTAACTCTTCCAAAAAAAAAAAAAAAAAAGAAAAGAAAATTTGTCTGGTCGACGTTTGCGGGACTTCTACAAGTAAGTTTTGAGGATGGTCAGGGTTCCTGGAATGAAGCAATTAGAACAAAAGATTTTTCATTACTACTATATCTCAAGGGGGTAGACCGACTTAACTGTTGTAAACCAATTATAAGATTTTGTATATAACTACGAAACTTGAAGAGGTCAAGACAAAGGTTTATAGAAGGTAAGCAAATTTTATTTGATAAAAATTCTGGCATAGAAAGCTAAATAATCGTTTTTTTTTTTTTTTTTTAAGCGAATTTTGTTCGCTGGAATCAGACTCCAGCGCAGGTGTTGAATCCCACTTCGGTCGAGGACGGTAATGGGCTAGCCTTGTTTTTCTTAGATCCAATAAACTATGCACTGTGGTTTTTGGTTGTGTATCTATTTGTTAAAAGAAAAAAATAAGTATATGCCTAAAGCAGCAATGCCTCATTTATTGGATTTAATATCTAAAAAAGCTAGGATTGATGAAGCAGTGGCAAGCTAAACNTTATTGTTTCAATGAATTTAATAGTACAGCTACCTGTCAACATATAAAATGGCTACGGATCAAGTTGCACAGGACAGACAGAAATTGCCAAGTCCATGCTCCAGTTCTTACTTACATAGCACGTCATGCATTCATAGCATTCATAAGCTTGTATTCTCAGTACACTGACTAGCAATTCTATAGTCGTTTTTAGACGCTGTTCATTTAATTTTAGTATTCCATGTAAATTCTGTAAAGTGAATAAAAGTAACTACTACAAGTTTCTAACCAAGTTTCGGTTGCTATTGCTTCACTAGTGACCCAACCACTGCTCACTAGCTGCCCCTTAATGCCCGCTTAATTTACAAAATTATGCTCTTAAAAAACCATTTTTTAAAATTTTTAATTTTAAATATTCATGTTGGAGAGAAAGCAAATCCGAAAAAAAAAAAAAAAAAAAAAATTAGACCGGTCGACGTTTGCGGGACTTCTACAAGTAAGTTTCGAGGAAGGTCGGGGTTCCTGGAATAAAGCAATTAGGACAAAAGATTTTTCATTACTACTATATCTCAAGGGGGTAGACCGACTTAACTGTTGTAAACCAATTAGAAGATTTTGTATAATTTCTATTTCTATAAACCTTTGTCTTGACCACTTTAAGTTTCGAACTTGAAGAGGTCAAGACAAAGGTTTATAGAAGGTAAGCAAATTTTATTCGATAAAAATACTGGCATAGAAAGCAAAATAATCGTTTTTTTTTTTTTTCGAAACGAATTTTGTTCGCTGAATCAGACTCCAGAGCGGGCGTTGAGTCCCACTTCGGTCGAGGACGGTAACGGGCTAGTTTTTCTTAGATCCAATAAACTACGCACTGCGGTTTTTGGTTGTGTATCTATCTGTTAAAAAAAAAATAATAATTATACGCCTGTCGGGATAAAATCGTCTGGACGTACGATTCCCGCGCTTTTCCTGTTTTTGAACGATCAACGGCGGTCGTCATGGAAACGCGGATCAGGCTATGTCAGTAGTTTTGGAACTCGATCGCGGATTGACTAGGAAACATTGTACGGCCAGCGGACGTCCGATAGCGCTACTAAGCGCTGATTGAGACTTACATTCGTTTCAATCCGATATAAAAAGATTGAATTTAGGCGGAAATTTCAGTTCGCCTAAGAGATATCCGGGGAAGCTAAACTCGATTAGAAAATTGTAGTTACTTTTTTCGCCTTGATATGATGTAACTTCATTTCTTTTATTATTTATAGAATCTTAATTCTGCAATGGCAGCTTCAGTTTCTAAAAAAAAGTGTCGACAATATTCATTGGATTATTTAAAGTTTGGATTTATTCCTTCTCCAACAAATGAAACGATACCTATGTGTCTTCTTTGTGAGAAAACTTTTATAAATGATGCGATGAAACCAGCTAAAATGAAAGACCATCTTGAGAGAGTTCATTCTGATAAAAAGGATAAAGATCTTGATTTTTTTAAAACACTTAAAAGAAAATTTGCAACACGACTAAATATAAAAAGTTTTATGAAGCTGTCTGCTTCTTCTATAATTGATATTGAAGGAGGCTTAATCGCTTCATACAAGATTTCACTCAATATAGCAAAAAAGGGAAAACCACACACAACTGCAGAAGATATAGTTGTACCTGCAATTAAAGATGTCATTGAAAATGTAATGAAAAAAGACTCCATTGATGTTTTAAAGTGCTTACCATTAAGTGTGAATTCAGTAAAATGGTGTATTGACGAAATGGCCGAAAGTGTAGTAGTTTCAGAGCTCAAAAATTGCAAATTTTCTATTCAACTTGATGAGTCTGTTTTTTGTGTTTCTTCTCTTCTTATGGCTTATGTCAGATATTTTAGTAAATGTCAAATCATTGATGAATTTTTATTTGCTAAATATCTTGAATGTGATGGAAAAGGTCTGACAATATATCGGAATTTAGAAGAATATTTGAACAAATATGACATTCCAATTAACAATATAATAGCAGTAGCCACAAATGGCGCACCTGCTATGGTAGGCTGTTACCGAGGTTTTGCAACTTTTCTTAAAGAAAAAGTCCCTGGAATAAGTACTGTTCATTGTGTGTTGCATAGAAACCACCTTGTAGCAAAATATCTCACTCCAGATTTGCATAACGCTTTACAGTTCTGTATTAAATCTATTAATCAAATTAGAGCCCACCCTCTTAAATCGAGATTGTTTTCCAAACTTTGTGAGAAAAATGACGAATTAACAAACCAGTTACTTTTACACACCGAAGTCAGATGGTTGTCTAGAGGTGTATGTTTACAAAGACTCGTTGAGTTATTTGATTCTACGATAGAATTTCTTACCAAAATAAATTCTGTTCTGAGTGATGAACTACAAAAACATAAGAACCACATTTTTTACGTAGCGGACTTATTTGTAAAATTCAATGAGTTTCAAACAAGGCTCCAAGGTGAAGATGTCACAATTATTCAAGCTTGGACAATTCTTTTAGGCTTTCAAGTTAAATTAAACTTGTTTAAATTTTCATTGTTATGTAAAGATTTTCAGTACTTTCCAAATCTAAGAAAATTGCAAATAATAGATGAAGACTTGGAAATATATACAAATCATCCTCAAAAATTGAGCAATGATTTTAAAGTGCGTTTTGAAGATTTAGAAAATATTGATATCCCGGAATGGATTATGGCGCCATTTTCCACTCAGATTGAAAATGTCAACATCAACCTGCAAGATGAACTTATAGAATTATTAGAAGACCTTGAAGCAAAATCGCTTTTCAAAAATTTAACTTTAAGCAATTTCTGGACGAATGTAAACATAACAAAAAAATACACCAAACTTTGTGATATTGTAAATCCTCTGTTGTTGGCATTTCCAAGTTCATATATGGTCAAAGCTGATTTTAGCCATGTTAATTCCATCTTAACCAAACAGAGAAATAAGTTAAATGTGTGAACTTTGAGGCAATTTAAGACTAAAGCTAACAAATTTTGACCCAAATATTGCTAATCTTGTGAAGGAACATCAAGCTCACCCGTCTCACTGATTGTGAGTTACAAATAAATGTAAAGTATGTAAAATTAAAGGAAATGCATAGTAAAATCGTTTCTCTTTCTTTTGTGTTTTTTTTTTTTTCTTTTTGCTCATACACTTGCACTTGTAATAAAACTTAACTGTGGGGGTCAATGTGAGGTTTTGGAAAGTTGTTGGGGGTCGACGGTTAAAAAAGTTTGGCGACCCCTGCTTTGGTCAATGATTTCAACCAGTGTGCCATGAAAATTTTTGAAGGTTATTAAATAAATTATTTTTGAAAGAAGCCTAAAGAACAATAAGTGTACATGTAAAAATTAAAATTTTTCTAAATTGATTATACAAGTTTTTCACTGTTATAATAAATAAATGTATACATAATATAGTAAAAAATAGATATTCATAAGCAAAATTATAAGATGTCATCATATTTTATCTTTGTCCACGAAGTACATCTTCTAAGAACAATTTTAAGTAATCTTTGTACAGATTAACTCCACAATTAAAATTTTACTTTTGTACTAGTCAGTGTCTCAACCAGTAAGAATTGTTAAATAACCTGATAAAAATGTCATCTTTTACATATGATAAATGTTCAGATGCAAGCCAAACTATATACACCCCATGAATAGCATGACACAAATATGACAAGGAGGCAGAGTGATGATGATTTGGTCACATGAGATAATGTTCATGCAAGTTCTCTATATGAGATGAAACTTGGACAGTTGAGTGATGAATCAATGCTTGCATTGTGTTTTCTCATCAAAAAATGACATAGTTACACTTTTGTGAAACCATATCATTCTTTTTATGATCCTTGTATGAAAATATGGTTCACTTCACGCCAGCATTTAGAAATTAAATATAGGACACTTCTGTGTTGCAGCATTATTGACAGCGATTGCTATTGATCATTATTGATCGCTGTCAATAATGTCGCAGCACGGAAGTGTCCTATATTTAATTTATGATCCTTGTATATGCATCGTTAAAACATGTTTTAATTGATTATTATAATTAGTTATTAATAATTAATTTCAATGCATTAGATTGCATTTTGAGGTTAATAATTTAGATTTAATTTTAAATAAAATTTTAGGATGCTGTGAATGCAGTTGCTTTTTCACATTCTGGAGAGTTCTTTGCTTCTGGAGGAAATGATAATGAGGTGAGTTTTTTAGTCTCATTTAACAACATTCATGGAATTTTATTACGAAGATCATTCTAAAAGTAAAGAATGTTTGTTTCTCTAGATATTTTTGTTTAAGATAATGAAACAAAATTTATTTTACAACACATGTGATACCTTAGCTATTTTTCTATGTAGTCGCCATACAAATTTAAAAATTTGTCATAGCATATTACCAGTTTTTCTATGTCTTCTGCACACTCAGTTACCACCAAGTTCTTGAACCAGTCATTAATGGCCTCTTTCAGTTTGTTGTCACTTCCGTAGTGATTCCTGTCCAAAAAAATCTTTCAATTTTGGGAAAAGATGGTAATCACTTAGAGCAAAGTCCGGGCTATAAAGAGGATGTTCAAAAACTTCCCACTTAAACTGCTGAAGCAAGTTCTTTGTCAATGCAGCAGTATGCGGACATGCATTATCCTGAAGAAGCACAATGCCTCTGGATAACAATTCCTGCCATTTGTTTCAAACTGAAGCTTCATTCCTCACATTACCATAAACCTCTGTTATCTGTCTGTAAATTTTGATAGGGCGGATTTTTTTACATTCAGAAAGCGTATTACACTACGAACCTCACACTTGATGAGATTTTTAATTTTGTCACACATTGCAAAGTCACAATATAAACAGTAAACAATCATTGCGGCTCTCTGTTAACATCAGACTGGCATGGAAAATGGGAAGGTCCATGGCGCAGCAGTGGGGGTGGGGGAGAACTGCATGGCTCGTTAGATCAAAATGTTCTTTTCTTTTATAATAACCCTCGTACTGATATTGTGAAATCAATACAGTGATAAACTTGTATTAATTTCATAATGTAACATTCAAATTAGCATATTTATTTTATGAGTTTGTGTATAGAACAGTTTTATTTATCTATTTTAAAAACAGTTTTAAATATTTAATTTAACACAAATTTTGTTACAGATTTTAAAAGAAAATTAGTTAAATAGAACTGTTTAATTTTTTGTTAATTATTTTAATTGTTAAGTGATAAATGATGATAATGGTGTATTTTGTTTCATTTGATAACTCGGCATTTATCATAATTATTTTTAGATTTAAGTGATTCTTTATTACATCCTTTTTGTGACATTTGAATGGATTTTTTATTGTTTTAATCAAAATTTCCTGGGTTAATCCCTGAATAAACTGTTGTACACGTCCGGTACTACATACTAAGTATCTAAGGTTCTCCAGATAAAAAGTGTGGATTCTTCGAGTATCTGGGCTTAAATACAGTAGAACCTCGAAAACTCGGCCTAATGTGGACCGAAGGGTGGCCGAGTTTGTGAAAATGCCGGGTTATCGGGAATGGGGTTAAAAAAAATAAGTACGAGTGTTTCCTCAGAAAATACTGTACTGTACTTGTATGTATTGTTTACTTGAGAATATAACAGAGAATAAACTGCCCAAATACCCTTAAACAAAGGAAAAGTACNACCTTTTAGATTACAGATTACTGAAAGTTAAAACCATAAAATTCCTTTGCATATTTAACTTGTTATCCATTAAATTACAAATGTTTGTAAGGTTTGAACCTTGAAAACTCCTTTACATATTCGACTTCATATTATCTAAAAAAATTTAAAAAAAAATTTTTATATTTAACTTCCTGTTATCTAAAGATTTTACATTAATTATCTTGCATACATCTATTTTGATAACAATACTACAAATTACGTCAGTACCTACCAGTGGCGTGCCGTGACATTTGATGATAGGGAAGCTGTGTTTCTGTAAGAAACCGACTTCCAGGGGCAATCAGTTAATTGCACGTCAGTGATGGTCTAGGGTCCATTCGTATTCATTTGTTCAATAAGCCAGTAAAAACTGTAGACTTCTCTAAATGTATTTTTAATATCACAATTACATTCTGAATTGTTAGCCACGATATAAGGGTTACAATTAATTAAAAATAAAATAATAAAAACTTACTTGGTGAAATAAAATGTGTGGTGGATGTACTGTACATACCTGGTACAAAATATTCTTCAATTGTATGAATATACTTTTAAATAAATTTTAATTAAATATAGCTTTGTAAAGAAACGTACATTAAAATAACATAAAATATTCTTTACTTTTTAAATCTTAAAGCAATGCACTTAGTCAAATAGCTCCCTACGATAGGCTAATGGATGGAATCAGAGTAGGTTGCAGTGCATGCATACACACAGACTGCCAAATCCCCAGGGTGCCGATACTGGCCAATGTCAAATACCTCTTTTGTCGCATCACTAGTATACCTCAAAGGACACGACAGGGTTGTTGTAAATTTTAAACGTTTCTCACCATAGCTGTAAAAATCTAAATACATTAAACATAATAGATTGCCCATTGTTTGTTTTTTAACTAATTCATTTTAGGATCAGGTGTCCACAGAAATTTCCAAAGTTTACTTTTTAATCACTCATTGAACTGGAAAAATTTCTGTCTTTATTACATTAATAATACGAAGAAATCAGTCTCCACTGTACTCGGCTAGAGATGGTTTGGTTAAGCTTTTAAGTAAAATTTCGGCTCTTTCATCAGAATTTTGTTTATGTCCCCAACTCCCTAATCACTTAATTATTTAACTACTTCTTAAGTAGAAATAAGTCGAAACCGGTTACTTCGTACTTGAATATTTGTAGTCTTGGGAAAGAATTGGAAAGACAAATTTTTATGACAACGGATACATAAATTGTAAATTTAAGGAAAATAAATTCTAGAGATTTTCTGTACCTTGTGTGTCTCATTCATTAAATTTAATTGTAAATGACGCTGTCGAACTAACGGTTAATTTTTTAACATTATACAAGAATTGTGCACGTTTTTTCTGCATCCCCTTATAGATGGGACATACAAAATTGTAATATCACTAGTTTAACATCGAAATCTGTAAGTAATACAAGATGGGAGAGCAGAATAAAAGCAGAATAAATATATCAAATATTTTAATGGATTTTTTTAAACTCCTGTCAACTATACAGAACTATCATAAAAACATACCAGTAAACTCCTATCGGTTGGGTTAAGTTATAAATCTACTCACAATTCACATAGTGGGGCAAGGGCGGCCAAATATCAAGTACACAGGCGGCTAACAGCCCAGAACTGGTCCTGGATAGAATCATTGGAAGCATTATATGATATTTTGGTGTGTAGCTTCCACCAGCTAAACCACATGAGGTTGGTGCTCTGTAAAGCACATGTGCAAATGCGTATAATCTGGCTGCTTGGAAGCTGTCCCGTATTCAACAATACAGCGCTTCCGTTCCATCATTGATATTTGAATATACAATAGCAATCTTATCGTTTTTTTCACATGTAGCATAGAAATTCATAATAAGATACATAATGCAGTTATAATAAAATATTAATTTTAATTAACTCAAAGTATGTTAAAATATGAAAATAATTGCACAATATGTCTTTATATTTTAGAAAATACAAGGAAAGCTTCCAAGGATGGCACACCACTATAGGGATTTATCATGCCCATGTCAACAATCCTAATGAAAATTTGCCATTTTTTTCTATTAATTTGTATGCTTTTCTAAGTGCCAAATATGTGGTCTACTACTCCCATCTACCTGTTATATTGATTGAGGCTGATGGATAAGCACCTTTTCTTTCTGTCCCTTATCTCACTTAGAAACTGATCCAAGAGGCTTAAAACAATCAATTTATTCAGATTATTATTTCAGCAACCATATAGAGCTGTTTTCCCCAAACTTATCACAATGACTTCTGTGTGACCACAGGGTCAGCACCACTTTGATGCCACGTCAGGACTGATACTACTGTGTCTTAACGGACACAGAAATTGTGATGGCTGTTAAGATCATTTTTGTGTGAGCGATTGCATGTGTGGGAGCTCAGACTTGGGATGGAGAAGGGTTGAGAGACAGCCAGTGGAAGAAGTGCACTCAACTACAAACTTAACATTAAACAATACCCATTTATTTATGAACATAACCACGAAATTACCAACATACCAGCATATAATTCAATTCAAAAAAACGAACGTTTTCTACCGTCTTCAACGGTCATCATCAGGTTCGAATCCAATATGCTGGTATGTTGGTAGTTTCGTGGTTATGTTCTTAATTCTCACACCAGTATGATGAATGATTGTTTAGATATGGCTATGCCCATTTATTTACATAAGCAGTTTACATTTCTGTACATAAGTTATATAAGCATCTTATCTAGATGCTAATTTTATAAGGATCTCTACAAGACAGCTATTATCATTAATATTGCAGATCTCTGACCACAAGAGAGAGTGTTCACAATAGTTTGCAAGTTGATAAATACCTTAGTTAAATCGAGGTTGGTTCTTTTGTTACAGGCTTGACAGATTTATGAACTTCTGGTCCACAAGATTGTTTGTTAGAATCTTCAATGAGTCAAAAAAGTGTGAAAGTCTCTTGGTGTCTTGAGACAAGTAGATAGTGGGAAGTGGCTTAAGCAGTATCCAAATAGATTGGGCAAGAACACTAGTCCAAAGATAGCGAACTATCAATGGTGATGAACAGCTATCATCATTTATCCCCTTTTTTTTATTAGGGGATCCTTCCAGTTTCTTCTCATGCCCTTATTTGGAAATGTCATAAGTCAGGACCAATGGTTGAATTTCGATCGTATGTTCCAGGTGACACATCAAATGTGTCACCTGAGAAAGGGAAGTGACTCGATTGAGAGATACAATTATATCCTTTTACAATTAATAATTGTGGGAAAAATTATAGCAAGTTTTAATAAATTTTGACAAAAATTTTGTTCAAAACTTTATTGTCAAGTTTGGTCTCTCACATCTGTATGTTATAACTCTCTTCCTATTCTTTTAACAAAACACATTTCAGACTTATATCGCCTCTCTTCAGTTGTTATATAGTTGTTACATAATAAAATTTGGTGAACAAATCAAATAGTAAATACACATTTGGTCTTTAAAATTCTTAAAAAACCTTATTAAATTCACAAGATTT